TGTCGATTTTGCCGAATCCTGAATGAATCGTATATTTTAGTAAACAAGTGTCACAGATTTGCGTCCATGATTAAATCTAATCTTACCCCTTCAACAGTACTTTGAAGCCCGAAAGCAAAATGGTATGTCGGTTTCGTCGCTCTTTACCCCTGATATTCAGAAGATACATCTCCCCATCGTGTATCGGACGCCTTCTGAATGTCATCGGGATAAAAATAACCGGGACGATCTCGGTACGACGAAAGATAGACTGACGTGAAAAAAACGGCGTGAAAAACGCGACGTCTCTTTCCGATCCCCCGACACACCCGTCGTTACGCGCAATTATTTATTTCTTACGTAAGAGAAATAAAAAGAGATGGAGAAACATTCATTCGACGACGTAGACTGCAGCGTCGTCCAATTAACGTGTCACTGGAGATTGACGCGGCGATCGGAGATAAGTGCGAAGGAGGTGCAGCGGGCGCAGAGACAGAGGCCGGAGTGTCGAAGGGGACAGCGGGCGGGAGCGTTAATTAACTAAAATCAGGTTCGGATAATCGGAATAATCTCCGGCGCCGCAACGAGAAGGGATTAGGCGTCTACCCGAAATACTAATCCATTTGTTATACACCGAGCAGTAAAATCTATCCTCCCGGGCGCGCTCCTACGATGTTATTTTAGGTGATATCTGAGACACGGCCCGGAGACGCGCTCCGGGGGGAGGAAGGGGAGTGGCGAATAGATCGAGAAGAGAGAGAGAGAGAGAGAGGCAGTAGGAAGACGTAGGAGAACGGTCGTCGCGCACAGGTTGTGAGTCGAGCCTTAGCGAGGGAAGCGCCGAGGGCCCTCGAAGGTAATCTTGGCTCGTTCGCGGAGGGTTGCATTTTGATCCCCGGAGCTTCCGCCGCGGCACGATCTCTCCGCGCCACCGGCGTCCGGGCTCACGCATTTACTATAATTAGAACTCCCTAATTAACGAGCAAACGTCGCACGGGGCTGTCGTAATCTCGGGCTTGACCTTCCACCGTCGTTTAGACCGCCTTTTCTCGCCCCGCGTTTTAATCCGCCTTCCTCTACCTCTCCCCTCCTCCTCCTCCTCCTCCTCCTCCTTTCTCACTCGCGCGCGCGCGGAAGATCGAGAAAAAGAAGCTGCAAGCAAGGAAACGCCGAAATTTATTCCGCTTGCTTTATTTCGAGATTATGGAGGAGAGATACAGCGAAGGCGGTTCGTGCGTTCGACGATCGTCGAAGAGGCCCGAAACGCGAGCGGGCGATGCTTTTTATTCTCTCTACATGCAAAAAGATTACTTTTCATGAAACTTTAAAATTATTATAATGCTGCTGCGGGTGGTGGGCGCGATCCCGGGGCATATTTCAAGTCTATTCTCTCGTTCGGCCGCCGGTGTGGGGCGGCCTTTTAAAGAGGGCTCGTGGACGAGAAATGATAACACGGCGAGCGTTCCCCGTTCGTTCCCACCGCATTCGGAATCACACGGGCGGTAATGTCAACCCCCGGCGCTCGTCGCGCCCGGAGCTGCTCGTCGAGGCGCTCCCTTCCGTGGGACGCAAGTTGTTTTAAAATAACTTTCAAACATTGAGCAAATACTACGCCGGTGCGCGACCGTATTGAGCAGAAATTAAAAAATAAGCTTCCTAAGCCGCAACCCCGATAAATCTAACTCGTTAGAGTGGCGTGTTTTCTCTCTCTTACTCTCTCGCCTCTTTCTCTCCTGCTTGAACATCAGTGGGGATTTAAAACGAATTGTAACCTGAATCGGGGTATAACTTCCTTCGCAAGATAGTTCGCTACTTAATTACAGGTCAATAAGCTTCGCATTGCTAATTGAGATTTTATTTTAAGCCCGGTTAGATGCGGTTCGTGAGGTACGAAGCAGACGAGAATCTGACAGAAATATTGTGCATTTCTGTAAGATAAATGTTTTGCATTGTTATTTTGCAGAAGTACGCGCCTCGAATTTGGAGGTACTATGCGACAGTATCTACAAATTTGGGGATACGTACTTCGAAAATGTCCCTTATAGTTCCGTGAGGGAAACAACGACGTTTCTACTCGAACGAAATGACATTTGTTATTAAATTGTGTCGTTTATATCAAACAAACGCGTATACCAAATCCAAAGAAACCCATTTCCCCGTGTATCGATTATCGTGACTGCGTTTAGTTTATACATTTTAGAGCTACTGTTCCCCCATACGGCGCGTTATTCCGTATAAAAATTACGAGACGTAATTTTAATAACTTCCGTTGAAAAAGAGCGCGGTCAGAATTAAAATGGAAATTACTCGTGTGACGCGCGTTCCCTTCAGCGCCACCGCCGCTTATTATTCGCCTCGTGTCATTTGCGGCCTTGTCTATTTAGGTGATAGCGGAAGAACGTTGGGTCCAAAAGGAACGATAAAACCCGACGGGCGGTGCCGGTGTGCATCGCGCTGATAAATATAACGTAACAAGTTCAGTGGAATAACAGCTTCATCCCGGAGGGATCAATGCGACTTTGCTTCGACTTTCACGCAGAATTTCCTTCTGGAAAAGCGTACGCGTGAAAGAATCGAATAGATAGGGAAGCTAGTTCGAACGCGCGGCGTCTCGTCCGCAATTGCGAGCGTCGTCATCAGTTCAAGCGGAACGATATTTCAAGTATATTCAAACACGCCGCTCGAATAATGTCGATTAATTAAAATTCAATCTCTCGATGTTCGGCGGGAGATGTCCGCGATAACGTTGTACACCTGCGCCCACTTAATCCGCGCAACGTCCTTATTTTATTGAACAATCCGATCGACACCGCTTTGTCCCTCGATCGTTCCGCTCGGTTTTATTTTACGGAAGCGAACACTTTGGCGCCCCGGTGTTTCAGCGCAATTAGGCACGTTGTTAATCAAGTGCGAATAACATCGTCGAATGGAAGAAACGCGCGATCGATGCTTTTTACCGAAATTGATTGCGCCCGACACGGACCGCGACGCCGTTAATTTGCAATGACGAAGGGAAGTCTTCCATTTCGTTAACGGTGGCGGCAAAACTACACGGCCGTAAAAAGTAAATTAAATAAGAATTAAATACAAATAAAACCGCTCAGCCAAGTAATTGGCTGGTAACCTCGCTCGTTGCCTGACGACCGCCTGAGATCGTTCCACCCTTATATCACCCCCGACGCCTCCTCCTTCTCTCCCTCCCCCCTCCGCTGCCCTAGACTCGGGAAAGAAAGAGGATCCGCGTCAATAGACACGCGGCGTGACGTAATTTGCAGATTACTCTCTTCGGAGAAACGCCGAATTTACGATTAAGCAAGGAAACGAGAAACCCGATTCCGCGTTATCATGATGAGTTCGGCTAATATATTCCCCGGATATCTAATCGGCTTGAGTCAAAAGCTGCACGGTTAAAAATATTTTCTACCGTGTGTTGACGTCTAGTCTTGTGAAAATGTTCGTGTTGAATTTTTAATACATACCCGCGTGTTAATTTGACGTAATACGTTTACACAACCTCAATATATTTTGTGTTGAGTCGATATTCAACATGTATAAACGTTCAAATAACACTTGACACCTCAGTGTTGATTAACATATCATCGATATATTGATTTCTGACATAATACTCGTGTTATTTCCCACCATATTCTTCAACCTCTGCTACGGCCGATGTATCGGGTCGGTGCGAAAGTTCGTCTCGCTTCTCAATCAGTCGCTTCGCTCAGAGAGATCCCAGAATTTATACGAGCGTGGGGATCATGCGGCTATCGGAGAGATCGGCGGGCGATCGAACAGATCGGCGTCTAATCGTGATTGACGGTACCTTAAAAACAAGTAAACGTTACACGCGTATTACGATGAAAGAACGGAACGAACTTTCGTTGACCGACCGCGATGAATTGTGAGTGAAACAGTAACACGCTCGGAAAAGTCCCGAGCTCGAAAAGGAGAAGTATCTCTACCGTTGTTCTCGCGATGTCCCCCGGCGAGATTAAAATAGATCGTCGATCGCGAATCGCCGATCGCGAGGACCGGCGGAACGCTCGCGCGGACATTCATCGTCCAGCCGGTGCGCCGTCGTCTGAGCGGAATTGCGGGCTTCGTCAAAAAGCGCTCCGAAGAAGCCGGGGGTGGAACGGGGTCAGACGGGAAGGGTGGCGTACGTCTCACAGCCGAGGTGGAGTTTTCGCAACGAGGCGGTCGGCGGGGCAATCATGGCCGGATTAGACGTATGTATAAGGATCGTGCTGCCTACTCCGCGGAGAGCGGAGGGAAAGGGGGGTATACTCTCTCTCTCCCTCGGAGGGTTGCCCGGGTCAAACGGGTCGCAAGATAGACGTTCGCGCGCGGGGTGAGAAGCATAAATGATATTCCATGAGGAGCATATGCGTGCGGAGATGGCTCCTCCTCCGCGGGCCCTCGGCGAGGGTGGCTGCGCTGTCACCCCGCTGGCAGCGGGGCGCTGGTTTATTACAAACAAGGATTACCCGGGTAATGGGACATTCTGTCCCTTCGGCTCGCTGCCGAGCTGAGCCGAGCGAGCGAGCAATGAGAACTTGGAGCCAGCACTGACTCACGTTTCTGCCTACCCGCTCCGCCGATCTTCGGGCTGTCTCCGCTGTCAAAGGGGACGAGAGAGAGAGAGGGAGATCCCCGGGCGCGATAGCCTAAGCGAATTCGTGAAGCATCGAGAGGCCACGGAGTGAATTTGTCGACAGGATCAGATTAGCGCTTATAGGATAATCGCGGTCACGCGAAACAACCGATCGGGCGGTGATCGCGCGCGAGTCTTCGTCGTCGCGTTGATTCACGCGGCGGTTCTCTCGCTCGCTCGATCGATCGATTTCGCGCTTTCCGTTACGTTTTCCCCGGCGAGCTCGCAAAGCGCAAATCTCGGCAGATTATGCCAATAGCGATAATGGTATTTGTAAAAGCGGGGGCTTCATTCGGCGAATTGCAGGTTTCAGCTTAATCCGAACGGTTCTCCAAGCGTGCCGCTCAAACACCGGCCAAATCCGTGTTTAAATACTGTAAAAAGTTCCGTCGATTTTGCGACTGTATCCGGGATTCGATTGGTCCATATGAGGACCCTCGATATTTAATTTCACGCTGCACGGATGAATTCTCCGCGGCAAGGCTGGCCCGCTGTAACACCTCGTTTTATCCGCCGGAAAAGCTCCCCGCACCGGCGATTTAAGGTCCTCGTCCTGATAGCCGCTCACGTGCGCCGGCCTGTCCGGTTCAGGCGGTTCCGGCGAGATCTAAAAATTATCCAATCAAATCGATCCATCGGCCACACCGAGATTTTTCGCGACTCGATGTGTCGTGCGTTTCAGAGCGAGTCGACGTATGTATGCTGTCACACTCCCCAGACGGAGAGTGACATAATTTCCAACCTTTCACACGCAACGCATATGATTGAAAATCGCAGAGGTAACTCGGGTTATAATGTGGTAGTGGCTCTAATTATAATAGTTTCAATCTTATGTGTAGGGGGTAAGATGACGATTTACTCATTCTCTTAAGCTGATAGTAAATAATGAGTTGGTGCCGAACTCATTAGAGGCTTTTATAATAATAAATAATCTACCGTGGTTTGACTTCAATCTGTCAACGACAATAGTTAATATGATGAGAAGTGTATTTTGCAACATCCATATGAAATCTTGTGGTATTTCTGCGTAAAGAATTACACGATCATAGTAGATATTTTCATTTTCTCTCGGTTAAGAGAGAATATGTATATGTAATAATATTATTATTTTTCATATGTAATAATATTATTATTTTTCATTTCATAGTTTGCAACATTTTTTTAATTGAATAAATAAATCTAGTGACTATGGGGTAAGATAATATATGCGGGTGGCATGACACATTCGTGTGTTTTGTTTTTTAAATTATGTAATTATAAATAATTTTTTCTATTTTTTTCTTGTCTTGAATTTATTTCATTTCCTTTAAGTTATCATGCTAGAGATCATATTTTTGTTCATAAATAATATTTTTACTTGCATTTTATCTTATTTGTATTTTATTATGTTATACATGCATTGCAATAACAAAATAATATAAAAGTCTATGGAAACTATGTATTTTTTGTATGTGTAAATAATTAATTTTTAACTTTCATCTTATGCACGCATAGGAACAAGATGACAAATAAATTGACACGTTCTTTAGAAATTTAAATTAAACAAAATTCCAACTTATTTATAAATTCATGCAGTTTATGCAGTTTATGCAGTTTATGCAGATAGGGCTTTGGTTGCTTAGAAAAAGATGTTCATTATTTTTACGTCACTACGGAAATGAGGAGAAATCAACAAACCTCGTAGTCGTTAACTTATCTTCTTTTCCGCTACATGTGAAAGGTTAAAAATCATGCAAGAATAAAAAGTTTCGGTTCAGGGAGTGATAAAGCATACGTGACGTCGACTGTACCTTGATCTTGTTCCGCAGAACACGCCAAGTTTTCTTGCCGAGCGTTTCCGGCTGCATAGGCACGTACATCTTCGGCACCAGGGTGTCCCGGCTGTGTATGTAGACGGCATCCAGCGCGAAATCGAGGGCGTCGCCCGGCACCTACGAGGCAATCGCAATGTAGTTAGCGAAAGTTTCAGCGCGAGTACAGAGTATCTTCGGCGCTGTGCGCCGCTGTACCTTTGGTCTGACGAGTCGGTAGTCCCTTCGGACGCTGTTCAGGGTGTGATGAGCGAAGAGACGCTCGTGGGCGCTCAATTTGGCGTGCCAGTCTCTGTCCGACGGCGAGACTTTATCTCCCAACACAGGCCCGCGTGGTATCCAGGTTCCTTCCTGGGAGACGTCCGGCACAGGATAAGGGTTCCGGACGGAAATGTCCATTCCGACGCGCCCTACCGATATCGTTCGAGAACAGAAAGCATAATGATTTACGAGATGTACGTACGAGACAATTTTCCAGTCGCTTACTCCATAACCCCAAAGTCGTTTTAAGAATTAGGAGCGAAGTTTAAACTTGTCTTGTCAACCGAGTCGAACTTCGATTGCAACTTGAAGTGTGCGGGGGAAGCTAATATTAGAAATCTAATATTAGAAACATACGTATCAGAGGCTCTAAATTCGAAATTCGTTTCGATTCATTCGATCATAATCACGATTAAAAATACCGACATTTTATCTCGGTGTGAGAAAATGTATCTCCCGAGAGTAACTAAAGCGCAGATTCTCCTATTGGAGGTACCAGGTGCGTCATTCATCGAGAAAGCGTCGCACCTTTTAATCTTAATTAAGAATACGTCTCTCTCTCTCTCTCTCTCTCTCTTGCTCGGCCCTTGCTTTTATTCGTACGCGTTCTCGTTACTGCGTGACTCTCCAACTTCCCGTAAACCCACCGCAAACAATGCCAATCCGTTCGGCCGTTCTCGAGAGGCCGCATCCGGTCTCCTCCGAGATTAAGACGGGACTCGGCCCGGTGCAGCCGGCAACCGACGGGCAACACTCGAGTGGACGCACGGCTCGCGCGGATCCTCCTACGTAAACGAGAAGCCGGCCTTAATTCATGCGAACGGCCTGCATCGCATCACTCTCCACCGCGGGGTGTCCACTTATCGTTCCTTCCGCTCGCGTTCTCGCCTTCGGTGCCACTTGCGGCGCTTGGCCGCCCTCAGAGGAGAAAGGGCACCGCCCGGGGGGCTCGTTCTCGCTCGCCTCGTGAAAGAGTTTATTGTGAAATTCGGCCGAAACTCGCCACGAGTAATCGCCGTTCGTGCGCAGCCGTCCGCTCGAATTCAGCCGGCCGGTTGATGCCGAGATGAGTTTCATCGAGAGTTTCGCCCGGGGATGCAAACAGTGGCCGGTAACTGTGAACCGGTTCGTAGTGGTTTCAATTGTAACGGAGAGAGCAGCGTATATGTATATATAATATATATATATATATATATATGTCGCGCGGCCCGAGACTGAATTCGAACCCATTTCAGCGTGAATTTCCGTGCGTCGCTCTCTCGGGACGGGTTTGACATCGCGGAATGTTTCCCCGCGATTTCTGTTCACATTTGCTTATTGAAGCGAAAGCGAAATACGCGTAAATCAAACGTTCCTCTCCACTCGTGAGAGTCGACGGACCACCGCCGATGATTTTCACTTGAGCGGCACTTCCCGGGTATTTGATTACTTGATTATACAACGCGTCTCACGTCGTGATTCGCTTCATTCTCAATAATGCCGTTGGATCCTCGTGGAATTTTTGCAGACCAGAGAAAGAAAGAGAGAGAGAGAGAGAGAGAGAAAGAGAGAGAGAGAGAGAGAGAGAGGGGAAGGAAAAGCGATCCGAGGGATCGCGAATCGCGGTCGAATGCGCCGGGTTCTCCCCGCATTTAACGTGTTTTGCTCAGGAGGTGGTCGGCCACGACCAACGCCGACCGTCCAATATTAAACCCGCAGTAATTTATGTTAGCGCGAGCGTGCATAATGCTGTTTGTACAAAGCGCTACCGCCACGTGTCGACTCGTGCCGACTCGGTACGTATCACTCCCTCCTGTCCTTTAATTCCCGCCGCGCGCTGCGCGGGCGACGAGCGAAATCCCGGCTGGTACGTACGCATTCTAAATGCATTCTTACGCCCCGTAGATTCAGAAATACATAAAGAGAAAGTAATATCTCTCTCGGCTCGCCCCGGAGTGAAAGCCTCGCTCGTCCACCCTGACGCGTCGCACGGGAGAATCATTAATTATTCGCGGAAATCGACTAATTCCCGAACTTCTCCGAACAATTCTGGAGTTTGTGTATTTTATCGACACGAGTCAACATTCTAATCTGATTTTTCCCGGCTTGAAATCGGGGCGAGAGCAACGACTCGCAAGCGTCCTCGTAATTCTCGAGCGTGGAACTGGACTTTATTTTCCTAGAACAACACAGACGCGCGTTATTTAGCTAATTATTATTACACCGAGAAAGATCCCAGTTCGTTTAATTAAACAGGCATCAGACTAAAATTCCCGGCCACATTGGGAACCTATTTCTCCTTTCTTCGTCTTTTTAAATATTTTATAATTCTATTGGAAAACTGATGAACTGTCAGAATTCATGTAATGATTCGATTGTCGACAAACGACACACGTGTGAAGCGAGCCGCGCGACAGCCACTCAGCATCGCGGAAAAGAGACCCCAGAGTTTTCGATATATTCGAGATATTTGATAATACGCCTTTCTCGGAAGGGGATTCACTTTACCAAGTATACGAGAAAGCGAAACCTCGCTTTTTTCTAAGAAAGAATACACAAAAATATTTAATATGCTCATAGAGAGGCAATATGATCAAACAAGATACGCATAGTTTACATTTACGCGAGCAAATCAGTTAATTGGCTTCTAAGCGGGTTCCGTGATATGAAAAAAAAAAAATCGATACAATCGCGAATCACGCTTCTCGTCTTACGGCCACACGATAGCACTGAATCCGGGTGTCCGGGTATTAGTTAAATAAATCCCGAACGCGCGACGGAAAATCGCCCACCCTTTTATTTGCCGGCAGATGCGCGTATTACGGCGAACGGTAGGATCGCGGAGGGGGTGGAGGGGCACGACGGACGAATCATCTTCCGCGTCATTGCTCGTTCGACCTCTCCTTCGGGGCATCAGCCCGGGCTACGACACGGGGAGACGACACGCGTAATCGCGTAATCGCGTAATCGTGGCGCGTGCTGAAGTTCGGGTTGCGGGAGCTTTGCGTGCGTCTACACTGGCGCACGTGCGACGTTGCGCGCCCTGAATCAACACCGATCGCGAATCGCACAGATCTATCCGCGAACGTCAAACGGACGGTGAATCCCGGCAGCGCGTTTTACGAGATAATCGGCGCAACGACCTGCGCCAGATTACCGGCGACTATCATAAGCGCATCAAGTATGCTCCGACCGAAATGACGACGCTAATTAAGCGACGCTGTGATCACGGAAACGACGATCGTGATCTCGCGTATCTCTTTCGGGGAGAGCCGGTTAACGATCGTCAACACGTTACAATCACGGTGATCGTTATATCGTCCCCGCTGCGACACAAACGGCGAACGCAGTTTTATAACTTGTGTTAATTTCATGACGTTTCAGAAAATGATCCGTTCGAACGCACGAACTGTAAATTTGACTTGATAAATAATCGACGCGCGCCGTACACGTTCCGTTCGCAAAGTGAGGATCCTCGAGTGATAAATTTGCATTCGTACGTAGAAAAAAAAGGTGCTGGGAATCAAGTAAACGTGGTTACTTTCGGTTTCTTAAATTGAGTAATATTTTTATCAGTTTATTCATCTTATTTTATAATAGCTTGTAACGTAAATACTTACTTGGACGCAGTAATACCTGAATAAACGAATTACCGAATGTGAGTGTAGAATGGCTCTAAATTTGAGGGAATATTTACTAGAATCATGTAATACTTCCTTTCCGTTGAAACAACCTAATGGTTTCTTAAATCTCGATCTTCCCGTCGAGTGAATATTTTCTAAAAATCAATCCCGATATTCTCAATATTACGAATTTCATACTTTCATGTGTTTCAACACGTAAACGTTTACTTGTACGAAGGGAATATATTTCGTACATAGTCAGTTGTATTTCCACATCTAGTAAATATTTGCCAGGCAGTATCGGAGTGATCATTTTACCTGTCACGAAGTAAATCTTACTCGAACGGTGGCGCGTCTTTTTTCATCGTGATGTCTCGGAGGTTTCACGCATCGGAACTATCCACGTGGGGACGCGAGGACGCGCGAGAACCAATCGTTTACTGTTTTCTTTTTTTTTCCAGCGTTTCACGGCGATATGTTTACCGTTACTTCGCGCAACGAAATGACCGAGTTCCTGCCGTGCCCGCGAGATTCCCTTGAAATCCTAATCCGGTGATATCCTCGGGCCGATATACCGGCATCGGTAATGGAATCGCGCATTCAAATGGACATCGTTTCCCACCGACGACGACGGCGGCGGCGGGGACAATACCGGGGGATGATATTGCCAATATTTGGCTTGATTCTGGTGCGAATGTGCTCGGCTGTGTGCGGAGGGGTGCGCCCGCTCGCACCCCCTCGAAACGGAGCGTGTGGGGCGCGTCGGTGTTAGACGCACGGACGCCGATTACCATTTGAATGTAGCCTGCCGGCGGTCAGCCTTTGTCAGCCCCCGTGACACTGACCGCACCTACCTATCTATCTAGCCGAGGGAGAGATCCACCTACCCCTTGGCCGCCCCCTTTTTGCCGGCCGACCGTCTGCTCATCCACGATGATGCCGAAGAAGGAGACGAGCGCTCGCTCGCATCGAGAGCCGCGTCCACCCGTTTCTTCCTCCCTCTTGACACTTCGGATTTTTTTTTCTCCACCACCTCGGCCGTCGATCGACCGGTGTCTCCCGTCCGAGAGCGAGAGAGATCGATCGCCGTCGATTTGGCGGAAAAAAGAAGCGCTATCGAGTCAGAGCGGCGGACACTCGTGAACGTGAAGGCGGATATGCGGCTGTTTGCGCGCGTGGTGCGACATTTTCGAATGGCTGGGCCGAAACAGCAGAAGAACATCCGAGGTTAATAATAGATTCCCGAAGGAAGGATCAAGGTCTGCGTTGCGGCATGGAAGAGCGCGCGAGTGGAGTGTTGCTCCTCTCGGAAAAAGAAAAGGTGGACGCTTCTAATCGATTGAGTGCGAAGGGCGTTCCGCCGCTCGGCGCGCTTCCCTTTGTTTCCTCGCGATCTGACGTATTTGTCGTTTACAGCGGCATTGTATTGATGCGTGGCGATATATTGACGACGGGAAAGCCGGGAAAAGGCTGCGTTCGGTTTTCTCGGGAAACATCCGAGTCAAACGACACTCCCCGTCGCACCCCGTAGACCCGAAGTCTAGAGTAGCGTTTTCGACGTCGACGCGAACGAAATCTCCGGTTTTTAAGCATATTCATAATCATTAATTATGTGGGTTCTAATGACACGTCTCATGATCTTGACTTTGATTTTTCGTCAATATTTTTCCCGCCAGTACATACAGGAGTAGATAGTTTCGGTACGTACGCCGCATTTAAGGAAAACTTAATTTATCAAGTATTATTTATCATGTTTAAGGCAACTGAACTATACAAATTTTTTTCGCAAAAATCTACATCTTTTTTGTAAATATTTTGACGGAAGAAGGCAAAATAATGTGGGAAATTTTTGTCCACGGGTGAGCGAAAAAGTAACTACCGCGTTTGCAACGGCTAACGAATCAATTTAATATCAGCACATAAACTCTTAATTGTTTCTATCTCGAACGAAGTACTAGGGAAGTATCTTTCTCGTTTCTTTCTCTTTTTAATTCTTGTAAAGTCTTTTCGCCCCTCTCTCGCTCCTCCCTCAAATTCGGCAGTGTCGCGACTTTTAATCCAATTCAGCGTTCTTCCTGTGATTCCCGATGTACTGGGCATATTTTTCTTCCATTTGAATCTTAACGATACTTACAATAATTTTTCGAGGGGCGAGGGAATCCAAATGGATGAAACGAGAGATCTCTGACGAGAGATCGGGCTCGATCGAGGCGAAGGCAATAGCGGTTCTCGCGTGCGATTCTCGCGGATAAAGTCAAAGCTGGTTTCCACGGTGCAGTTTTACCCTCCGCAGAGAATAATGTCTTACACCCTGCGTGACCGATGCGACGAAACGAATAGGGCGGACGAAGCGGCGGTGCGACAGGTGGCCCGTGAAATCAGTGCACGAGCGCGCCGTTCTCCACGACCCTCGTTCGACGCGCTTCATTAAGAAATTAAGTGCATAATAATTAGAGTCGGGGTGTCGATAGGTATTACGTTAAACGCTCCGTCTCACTTGCTCGGCACCGTCTCGCACGATCGATTACCGTCGTATATCTCCGTTTTTTAAATTTATTCCACTTCGTACTGTCGAAAATTCGCGAGGGAATTCGGAAGAAAATTCACGACTCGCCGCTGACGTGTTAC